TTTGGACTATCTGGACATCTGCTGATGGTAATGTTCCTTTAATAAGCCAAACCTCTAACTTGTCCCAGTTTAAATGAAACTAAAGAGATATGACAACGAAATGCAATGTGTGAGAGAGAATACTTTGGGTTGGGTGTGTATGAGTTGGCAATGACAGGGGGCTGGTAGGGATTCTAATCTGCTTGCTTTTAGCAAACATGCTTACTAGCAATATGCAAAGAGAAAAAGAAGATAAATTTATTTATTGGGAACTGACAAGAGAAAATTGGCTATCTCTAAAATTTCTCTCAGCTATAGTATTTATGCACCTTAAACTAAGGTTTCCATGTCCAGTTTAATATGGAAAGTCATCTATTTCCAAGCCTGAGATAATGGCCACAGAAGATTAAAATGATAGCTTATGAGGCTACGATAGTGAGTCCATAGCTTGTCAATCCACGTTTAATAGAAAGTAAAGAAACTCCAACATAACCCTTTCTATCTGACTAGGTAGCTTGGTAGCTTGTTGAGGTTTTTGTAGTGATAGATTCACATCTGTGTATGCATTATTTTATTTATTTTATTATTTTATTTATTTATTTATTTATTTATTTATTTATTTTTATTTCTCTACTGCATTGGCTAGATTTCCAGTACTATGAGGAATAAGAGTTGAATGAACATCCTTGCCTTGCTCCTATTCTTAGGGGAAAAGCATTCCATTTCTCACCATTAAATATGATGTTCATGTAAACTTGCATAACTTTTGCTCTTGGCCAAGTATTAAAGAGCAAGCTTTTTGAATATGAAATGTAATAAAATTTAGATTTTATTTTAAAATTCAGAATAAAGAGAAACTGTGTCATTTTTGCCCACCCAATGTCTACTCCCCTTCCTCGTATAGCAATGTTTTGTTTTTCCCACAGGGGAAATCAACCTTTCTCCATCATTTATGCAGTTCTAGTGCAGTGAGCAAGTGAGTCAGGTATGGGTAATCCACCTATCCCACCCTCAAGTCCAAACATTGAATTCAATAAAATTCAAATAAGAGACTTCTTTGTAATTACATAAGTTCTCTTTCCACTAGACTTATAGATCAGGGATCAACAGCAATGGCCCATAACTGAAATCTGACTTTCTGTTTTTGTAAATAAAGTTTTATTAAAACAAAGCCACACCCATTCATTTACATACAAGACTGCTTTTGATCTACAACAATGTTAAGTAGCTGCAAAACTAAAAATATTTACTATCTGGCCCCTTACAGAAAGAGTTTCCTAACCCCCGTTCTTGATAATAAGATGTACACCTGGAATAGTTAGGAAGTATTTCACCAGTACATGGAAAGAACCCAATGGAAATGAAGTCAACACAAAAGAAGAAACTAACTCCAAATATTATGGAAGTTTTCAGATTCCGATGGGCCAGAACTATTAGGCTCCAATATTTTCCAGTTATGTAAGCCTATCAATCCAGCTTTTTCCCAGGCAAGTCTGAATTGGGTTTCCATCATTTGAATTCAAATTGACATTACAGATAAAATCCATAATGCTCATTGTAGGAACACAACTCTAATTTCTTCCTCCATTATCTATCCATCAATACCATAAAGACATTCGACATTTCTTCAGACTAGAATGTCACTGAGTGCTAAAAACCATACTTTACATAATGATTAGCTAAAACATGGTGACATCAACTGATTTGGGGTACACTGAGGGGTTTTTTTTAACCAGCCATCTTGGGTTGTTCTTGAACAGTGAAAGAACAAAAAGTATGGAAAACCTACCCCCTCCCCCAAATCCAACACTAAATAATAGACCATTGCCGAAACCGGTTTGGCTCAGTGGATAGAGCGTCGGCCTGCGGACTGAAAGGTCCCAGGTTCGATTCCGGTCAAGGGCATGTACCTGGGTTGCGGGCACATCTCCAGTGGGAGATGTGCAGGAGGCAGCTGGTCGATGTTTCTCTCTCATCGATGTTTCTAACTCTCTATCTCTCTCCCTTCCTCTCTGTAAAAAATTAATAAAATATATTTTTAAAAAAAATAATAGACCATAGATCAACTGGGGTGTAAGTATCAAAACGAAAGATAGGTGCCACCATTGACCTCTCCTTGAATTAAATAAGGGAACACTCTGAAACCAACTAGAAAAAAGGGTGTTTGTTCCCTTACCAAAACCAAAACTCCCAAGAGAACAGATTTACTAGTAACTAATTGGGGAAATGGTGATTCAAACTGGAGCTTCTAATTGTCTACTGAGCGTATGTCACCAGTAATGTTCCCTATAGGCTCTCAGCAATGGGAGACAAAATTAAGCCTAATATTCCCGCCAATTACACAATCATCATTTGTCTGTATTTATCTCGCTCTTTAGAGAACTATAAAACACACAGTGGTATAGTTTTAAATGCAAGCTATCTGCTCCTATGAGAAAATAATTTTATATTATGTTTAGAAACAGCATTATTTTGTATTTAAACTTGTTTTAATGTGTACATTCTGGAGCAAGGAGATGTTTTAACAGCACAGCTTTCCATCTGCAGAGGCCAGATGTTAATCTACAGGAAAACTGAAGTGATTAGTAAGAGGACCAATTATACACAGAGAACAAATATCAACTGGTGGGAAGAGGGAGGTGAGGGAGGTTTAAAATGGAGTTGGTAAAGCAGTTTTAAAGCTTCAGCTTATTGGTGGCAAACAAACAAACAAATCCCACCAATAATAGTGGGCTTTCCATCCATGCTAAGAATAGTATGCCATGACAGGATTTTTCTTCCTGGGTATTTCCTCCCCTACAAGTTGAAAAATGATTCAAGGGAGTCAGAGAAAATATTATAAAAATAAACTTAGGGTTCTTAGGAGAAAATTTCTCTCTATTAAGATGAAAATCAAATATGCCTAGGACTAGACATGGATTCAAATTCTAGCTTTGTTACTTTGGTGGATACTTTTATTTTTTAAATATATTTTATTGATTTTTTACAGAGAGGAAGGGAGAGGGATAGAGAGTTAGAAACATCGATCAGCTGCCTCCTGCACAGCCCCTACTGGGGATGTGCCCACAACCAAGGTACATGCCCTTGATCGGAATCGAACCTGACACCCTTCCGTCCGCAGGCCGACACTCTATCCACTGAGCCAAACAAGTTAGGGCTGGTGGAGATTTTAACCAGCCCACCATATGCTTGCTCTTTTTCCTTGAAGTGATAAGATGCCCTGGGGACTGGCTGGGCCCATAGCTGCTTATGCACAGCCTAGATTTCCCATCCTTCTTTGCAGATAGATGTGGCCATATAATTATGTGTGGGCCAATGGAAGTGATGTGTGTACCTGCTCAGTCCGGGATATTTTCATCTCCATTATCTGGCTGGAAAATGGCAATGACTGGAACCTGAAAGCCATGGTTGAGGATGGCAGAACAACCCAGCCAAGCATGGACTGCTCACTTTTGGGCACTGAAGGTAAAATAAACTTCTATCTTATTTAAACCCCTGTACTTCAAAGTCTCTTTGTTATAGCAACCTAGCCTGTATCCTACTAACGTAGCCAGTTATATCTATACCACTTGGGGCAAGTGATTTAACCTGTTTCCTCATCTGTGAAATGGAATCATAATATTTATTTTGTAAGGCACTAAGATAAATAAGTGGATTAAGAGATGTGCCAAAGCTGTGCCTTACACACACACAAAAGTGCTCATCTAATGGTAGATAATAGCAAAGATGAAGGACTAGTTAGGAAACTGCTTTCAAAGGCCTTTGAAATCATGCAGTTACTGTGCCAACAAAGCCCTAAAGGCAGAAACATGTATCTGCTTTTGAGTTTCTATTAGTAACAACATATTGAGAGAAAATCAGGAATATCTTATATTTTAGCCCAGGAAAAGAATTCAGGTTAAGTAATGTTTCATTAGAGTTTAGCACTGTGCCAAAATTTTTAAATAATTATTTAAATCATGCTATTAGTGGATGTTACACAAATACTAGTTATTTGTTTATGCATACTTGATTGGACTGAGTTCCATATTTATATCAAAAAATAGCTGAGCAGAAAGGTCAATTAATCAATATAGGTCACCTAACCAGGGTAGGCTGAGAAAGAGACACACAAATGAACTGGAATCACCCACACCAGACACCCAGCTTGACACAGAGAGTTCTATAGTCGGTGAAGGCCATGGCCTGATGTCCCCTGCACACATTTTCCCCCTCTGGATAGTGCTTTTGCAAGTAATAATTACTGGCCCTCTGACAGTGTGGACTCTTTCTATCTTTTACTGGTGGGCCATGGTTAAACTGCCCTCTTAGGATTTCTGCAACCTTGCCATTTGCTGAACTCTGGGGTTGATATCTTTGGCGTCAAGATCAGAAGATTACCCTGACTCTAGGGACTTCCCCAGGGCTTTTGCGTGGGTCTCACATGTCATAAGATGCAGGAAAACCACAAGATTCATCACCCAGCAGAGGCCAGCATCTCTAAAATGGGAGCATGGATCACATTACCAGACTTAACCCCTTCCATTGACCCTGATAATCCCACTGTGTATAATGGGATGTTGGCTACTATGGCAAAGGGAGGCTGGACCAGAAGGGGGTGAGAAAAGATACTGCACAATCTGTATACACTCTTAGGGTCATTTATCCGTTAAAATGGGATTGAAATAATGCTTTGCATCCTACTTCATGGAGGTATCAATAAATATTCAGTAAGCCAAACTGGACTCTGCCTCCTCTAAGAGCCTTAAGGGTGCTACAACTATCTCAGTGAAGGGGAGTTCTGGTAAAGTGTCATGCAGAACCCACACCTCAGAGAGAGAGGCCGCAGCTCAGGGCCTGCATCCAAACAGAAGCAAGATCTACATATACAAGCATCAGCCAAGGAATGAAAAACTCCCTCTGGTACATGAGTCTCGAGACCCCCAAGGCACTGGAGCACCAGCAACAATCACACTGCACTAGGGAAGCAACAAACAACTCAGGACCTTTATTCCTGCTCTACTTCCCTGAATTGTACTTACAGGCTCCCGGCCATCCATGGCTTCCATCCAGAGCCTCCGGTCCTCCTCCGACAGAGCCTGCATGGTGATAACCCCTGGCCTGCGGAGATAGAAAGACAAGGATATGAAGCTAGGTAGAGAGATCCTGACGAAGATGAACTTAAAGAAACACCCAAGCCACAGAATGAGAGATCCCTGGAGATAACAAGGAAGAGAGGCACACCTCTTGGCTTTTCTGAGCCATCTTCCAGTCTCAGAAAGCAAAGGCCTGGTCCTAAATCCCTCTCTATAAGCCCATGTGCCCAGGGAGGTAGGAAGAAACACAGAAGATATGGCTCTACTCACAGAGAAGGACACGGAGAAGTAAAGAGATGCTTTTAGACCTTGTTTGTTCCTTGAGATCTTATTCATTCCTGTTCTCCAAAATGCTTCACAGAGTGATTAAGGGGAAAACATCCAAGCTGGAGAAATGTGGGTCTCCTAATAGCTAGTTCAATGCTTCTAAACTGCTTTTGACATAGAGAACTTTTATGGAGGTAATCAGCTTTTTAATTATGCTTACATTTAATCTATATTATTTTTGCTGTTTTTGTTCATCCTCACCTCACTGGGGGATATTTTTTCCATTGATTTTTGTAGAGAGGATATAAGGAAAAGAGGGAGGGAAAGAGAGAGAAAGAAACATCAATGTGGGAGACATCAACTGGTTGCCTCCCACACATGCCCCAACCTGGGCTGGGAATGGAATCTGCAACCCAGGTACATGCCATAGACTGGGAACTGAACCCGAGACCCTTTGGTGTGCTGCGCTGACTGATGCTCTAACCATTTAGCAACACTGACCAAGGCAAATGGATAGTATTTTTTAAGGGAAGACTTGCCATGTCAGATGGTAAAGTCTTTACATGCATTTGCTCTTTCACCCTCTCATTGAAATCTGCTTGTTCTTTCAAATTGAGCACAAACCCTCCAGAAAGCATGCACACAATATCAATGGTGTTTGTGGAGTTCCCACTACAAATGGCACTCCAGGCGAACAGACTTGTGCCATACAATTGAACCTGGGAGAAGTATATGCTCATTAAAGCAGTTATTTACTTAGGATCCACAGATGAGTCCCAGAGAGTCCATAAACCACCTTTCCCCTCTAAATGTCTACATATTTTTCTGTAAAAACAATTCCAACTATCAGATTGTCAAAGAAGACTGCAACCCTCAAAAAGTTAAGAATTGTTTATATAAACCCTTATCTTTAAAGTCTGAGAAAGCCTAAACGGGAGGAAGAGGTGCACTGTGGAAGAATGAGATCCTGCTACCCTCTGAGTCCACAGCACTGCTGAGGATCACAGAGAAGCACAATAGTGAGACACATGGGGCTCTGCCATGCCCTGAGCACCACTGGCCCAGGCCCCACAAGCACCGAAGCCTGTTCATTCAACCCACAACAATCACTGCTCCTGGCTTATTTCCATGGTTCCAATGAATATGCTAGACCTATTTATGTTGAAGATATTTTAAATATCACATACTCTTCTTTCATTGATCATTCCCCAATCTCCCCCAAGAAAAAAAAAGTTTTCAAAGATATGAATATTTAGGTATAGATGAGTTGGGGATTTGAGGTGCATGGTGTGAGGGTGTGAATGTGTGAGTTTGTTAATGAGTGTGTGTGTGTGTGTGTGTGTGTGTGAGAGAGAGAGAGAGAGAGAGAGAG